GGAGAAAATAAAGGCCTAGTTTTTGTATCCCAATAGATTTTTACCAACCTTTCCCTGAAGAAAGTTTAGAATGAGCATAATGGGAAAAGGGGGAAATTGTATGTTGTGGATGGAGGAAGGAAAGGTCAGCTATGTCCAATAAGTAAAGAGAGGACTAGTCTCAAACTATTCAACATATGATTTACCTAGCAAAAGCTTTAAGTCACAGCTGAATTACATTGGGGAAACAATTACAGGTTTTATAATGGAAAGAAGCATCTTCAATGTTGGCTGCAATCACTGACAGCAGGAATACTCACTTTTGAAAAAATAAAAATGGCCATTGTTTTCTGCTTTCCAAATCTTAGTTTAATATTATGTTCCTCAAACACTATAAAGTTGAGAACTGAAATGATTACCTGGGAAATTCTGGTGAAACTGAGGTGTTTGTTTCATTAATTATCCACGTCATTTATCTTCTTAACTTAACCTAAATTTAGCCTGAATATCATTTGTTAGAGACTGAAGACTTTTAGAGAGCAGAGAGCACCTTTTTCTAATTAAATAGATTCCTTTGATAATATTTTAATGTGACTCAAGAATCCAGCAGTATCTATATATGGGCCCTCTGCATCAATGAAAAGAAGTACCTCATACAATTCTGTGAATATGAGAGTAAAATACAATTTCAATTATGAGGTAATTTCTTTTTTTTTTTTGTAGTCTAATGCAGGAAGAATGAACACTAGTCATGTCGAGAACCACAGCCTCACTACGTTTTCCTTATGTAAGTCCTGTAAATAAATTGGTGAAGGGAGTCATCAAATGCCTTATTTTCCTTCCCGCAAAGAGAATAAACCTTTTTGAAAGTCCCTGATAAGGTACAACCCTTATCCCTAAAGTTAGACCTACCAATAGCCGTGACCCCAGATCATTCTGGTGTCTGTATGGAGTGTTTGCAAAGATGAGTGCAATAATTCTTCCCATCCTCTCCACATGCACCTCTGTGGCTTTGCTACTCTGCCCATCAAGAAATGGAGTTGAATTTCTAGAATCTGGATTTAGCTGTTTAACTTGCTTTGACCAGTGAGATTTGAACAAAAAGTAACAAGCTGAAACTTCCTTTTAGCTTTGTTGGAACCATGAGACCACTAGGTGAAGATGCCTCCGATAAACTGTTAGAGGTATCTGACCCAGGTAATAGCCAGGACCAAGTCAAGCAGCCATCTTCCATCATCCAGTACTAGCCAAGTCATATTACTTGTGGCACATGAGTGAACTCCACAGAAGAACCGTTGACATGAGTCTAGCCCAGATTACTGATCCAAAGGATAATCAAATAAAATGCTTATTTTTTGCCAATGTCACAGACT